AAAAAAAAAAAAAAAAAAAAAAAAAAAAAAAAAAAAGCTAGAACGTTATAGTCATATAACTTTTTGTGGTTTGCTTTTTTCACATTTGATGCCGTCCGTCGCTCACCTGTCTTCACAGGCGTTAACGTAGCAATCTCATGTGGAAACGATGCACAGTTTCAAGTGGTTCTAGACACGCCCGAAACAGGAATAAAGCTTGTTTTATAAATGAATTGTGTTTTCGTCTTTGCAATGGAATCTCTGTGTCCACATATAAATGCTATCCGATGCATTCGGCTACGTCTTCAACGGTCTATGAGCTTTCGCATGTGGTGGTTTTCAAATAGATTTTAATTGTTCAAAATTTAAAGTGTTTTTTTTTTTTGCTCAATTTCTTCTTTTGCTAACTGATTTTGCCGCCGTAAACATTTGCATTATTTGAGTAATAGTATATTGGTTATTTTAATGATAATGAATTAGTATTCTTAATGTTCCTCATAACGGAATTTTATAACTGCTCAAAGTGACGCAATTATCATGGTTGTTGATCTGTTTTAGATGACATCGGGTATACCATTCGTTGTTACTGCAGCTACTGCTAGTTCAATAGTAGTCGTTGTTGCATCTCTAACTGTAGTGGTATCACTGTTTAGTGACATCAATAACTTTTATGACGGAGTAATTACAGAAATTGATGATTTTAAGGTTGGAACTTTTTTTTTGAATTACCTTTCATCCTTCTACACTTAAAAAAATTTTTCTGCTTTTCTCATTTTGTTCAAACGTTTGGAAGGCAGAGAGTTAGTTGAAAAACCGGTGATGGCTTTAATAACACAGCAAAAAGTAACAAAAATAAGACGGACTTGCAGAATTTGAGAGTGAGTAAAGAGAAAGTTCTGGCATCTCTCAGCACTGTCGAATATTTAAACCAAACAAATACTTCAAAATTTTAGTTGAGCTGAATACATTCCAATTTTCAACTCTCAATGGAAATCTGATATAGAAAAGCTCATCATTATCCTTATAGACGATCGCCAATGATGCCTGGAAAGTAATGATTGACGTTAAAAAACATGTGCCCGATGTTTCAAATGCGGTACCGGTCTCCCAATCTTCTGCTGACCGTTTCAAGCGTCAATACATGGAAGACTCTGGCGTCAGTGGAGGTTCTTCAGCTGGTGTTCGAATGAACAATAATAGAAAGCGTGCAAATAAGTGCCCGCCAGGACCTCGTGGCCCCCCTGGAGAACCTGGTTTACCAGGAGGTTTGTCAAACATGTCAAAAAAAACTTCTTTTTGTGACTGTCGAGTGTTCCTAAGGAGTTCTAAAAAGCGAAAACATTATGAAACC